TAGAAATTTCTTAATAATTGTGAAAGAACTTAGAAATGGGTCATTTTGTCCCATCTGGTAGATCTAGTGTTAATACGCGCGTTTCTTAGTATTATTCAATTTAGTGAAACGGAGGAATTACAATCGCAATTTAATTCAGAGGAGTAATAATACCTAGTTAGCATTGAAACGAATAATATCTATGTTAGTTAAATTCTATTTGAAATATTCGCCACGAGTCTAACACAATATTATAGGGCAAAGGGTTAAAAATTCTCATTCGACGTTAGTTATCTGACAAATCATAATTGTTATCAAGTAATTTGGAAGCTCCGGCGGTAGTCGTGTTAAGTAGCAAATTAAATTAGCAAACGAAGTACGCGCTAGGAGCATGATCCCGATCAACACGATTATCACGCTGACAGAAAACACCAACGCAAAGAGGACCGTTGAAACGATGAAAATGGAAAAACGGAACAATAGAGGCGATAGCGCGACACACCGTTATGTCACGTGGCAGCCAGCGAGCTGGCCAGCTCGCGACCGATAAGTCGTTCGCTGGGAACGCGATTTCTTTCGGCGAAAGAGCCGATCCTTTCGATTACAACGGTTACTCGCGTTTCCGCGCGGCAAAAATCCTGCTGCCCAACCCAAAGCAAACCCCGGCAGCTTTCTATGACACTGCCGCGAGTTCCTCTCTCGCTCCTAATGTCGACGGGTTAACTTTCCTTCGGCCGAGCGCGAATTCCGCGGCGAAAGGGAAACACACCGGCGGACATCTGCGTCGGATAGAACGAGATCGACCGATTTCGCACGGCGACAGCGTTCACGGCAGCCGAGCGGAGACGGCGTTTCATCCGCGTGCGTGAAATGCCTCCGGATCTTCCGCGTTTCCGCGGTGTTATCCGGTGGACCTAGAGGAAGTTGATGAAACGATACGCCTCAAATTAACCCCTTGCCTTACAATAACGCGTGAGACTCGTGGTAAGGAATTTGAGTAGAATTTAACACGTTCCGCGCCAGACCGTTTTTCGAAGACTTTCCGTTCGGGCCGCGTGGGGCGTATACGCTCCACGCTTTACGATCGTATTGTTTTGTTTCTGGAGTATGACTTACAATGATTAAAATAATGCAAAAATCATAACTATCAAGGAAAGGGTGTATAGTTTAAGATGCGTAACACAGCAAAGCAATGAATTAACTTTTTAAAAATTTATTCTATGTCTCATACGTTGATACCATGCGCGGAATGTAATATTGGATTTCAAATTTTACAATTCTTCGTTGAATTACAGAAGAGTTGCTTTTCGAGTAAAGGGTTAACATGTTTGAGATTGCTTTCGTAATCGCTGGAATTCTTTCGTCGATTTCCTTGAACACGCGAATCGATTGTGTTTCTTGTGTTTTCTTGTTCTTAGGGATTACAATTGATCGCGTGACGGAACTGTATCGTTGACGGTAATTATTAATCAGTTGCGCAATTCGACGTATTGAATTTTAAAGAGGTATTCTTCTCTCCGCGGGGTCCGTGACACGATTCCGACAGTCTTTATGGGAGTGTTCCGATCGATCGTTAACATTGTTCTGTTCCGAGGACAATGTTAACGACGCGGTAAATCTGATTCTACGAGCTCGTCGCTAAAATCTGAGGAAATTAAATCATCGTCGTCACCATTTTTCAACGTCGAATCAAAATCCTTCGATATTTCCCAAGTTTTACGAAGCTTTCGAAAGACAATCGAGTTGTAGAATCTCACTTGCCGGGGAGAGAATCAAATTATTGAACCTTGAGTGTTCGAAGGACAATCGAATTCTTGAATCTTAAGTATTCCAAAGACAATCGAATTCTTGAATCTTAAGTGTTCGAAGGACAATCGAATTATTGAATCTTAAGTGTTCGAAGGACAATGGAATTCTTGAATCTTAAGTGTTTGAATTCTTGAACCTAAAGTATTCGAAGGGCAATTGAATTCTTGAATCTGAAGTGTTCGAAGGACAATTGAATTATTGAATCTTAAGTGTTCGAAGGACAATGGAATTCTTGAATCTTAAGTGTTTGAATTCTTGAACCTAAAGTATTCGAAAGACAATTGAATTCTTGAATCTGAAGTGTTCGAAAGACAAACAAATTCTTGAAACTTAAGTGTTCGAATTCTTGAATCTTAAATATTCGAAAGACAATTGAATTCTTGAATCTGAAGTGTTCGAAAGACAAACAAATTCTTGAATCTTAAGTGTTCGAATTCTTGAACCTTAAGTATTCAAAAGACAATCGATTGAACCTGACGAAACAGGATGCATTAAAATGCTACACGAAATCACGATCAGATCATTAGCCGCGACATAAATAAACTCGATCGCGAATATTGCAAATATAAACGTATATCGAAGAATTTATTCACGACTCACTGCGGACGCGGGTAAACATGATCAACAAAAATCCGTCTGCCGTTATAAACCTCGCGCCGCTGGTTCGCTGCTGGCGTGAAACTAACGATAAACAGATTAAATCGACTTCTATCGAACTTATTTGCGTTACGAGTCTAACAGTGGCACGTTAATTTACGAGTCATTCGCGATTCGTTAATTTACTCCCGTAAATTCATTCGCGAGAACTGGTTCGCGGCAGTTGTCGACGGTTCTTTTCACTTTCGCGCGACGAGGGAAGGAGGAGGACGGAAAACTGGACACGGAGGATCGAAGGGAAGCTGCCGGCGACACCGAGGAAGGACGCCGAGACGAGAGAAAGTCGTCTGTTCGGCGCGAGCACACCTCGCTCGACACTTTTTCCTTTTCGAAGCGCGGCGTCAACCGCTTACGTAATCGACGTCAGCGTAACCGGCGGTCGGGGAGGACCACGCAGCATCCTTCGAAATACCACTCTCGATTTCCGTCCCAATCCGCGGCCGATCTTTTCCGGTATTCGATTTAAGCTCTTTTCCTATCGTTTCTTTCGCAACTGTGCTGGATGAAACCACTTTATCGCTAATAATTAACGCTAGAACTACCGGATGGATCAGAATGACTTATTTCTAATCTCTTCTTTTACGATCGCTGAAAAGGTACAGACACTTTTACGAAAACTTGTTAACCAATTCAGCAATAGCAAAACTGAAATACAACTCAATTGAAATTTCAGTAAACACGCTTATGGTTTCTATGAAGAAATTTGTAAAAGTTAAAGTGATCGGTAGTTCTAGTGTTAGATAGAAATAAAGTATTTGATGCTTATTCTGTGTACCTTTACCCTGGAGAGAGATCTGCCGAACTCGGTTGAAAATTTTCGTTACGAGTCGATATCGAATGTCTCGCATACGCAAAAATTTTTGTCAACTTCGTTAACCCCTTGACCTATTTCTTCTTCCATTATGATCAATACACCTGCTTTGACGTTAATTTATTGAAAGCAAGAGGAAAATTCTAAGCATATTATGTACGTTTGCTCTAGAGTATAATAATTGATACGAGAAGAGTAATATATAATTCGAAATCAAAGGAATCGAGTAATGTTTACGTTAAATTTCTTTTGAAATTGTAATGATATTGTAATACAAGGTAATACATTCGGATTCTCACGAATGTGTACATCCTCCGAGTAGCATCGAATAAGTTGATTTCCTCGTTCTAGTAGACTTTTACGAGAAATCACGGACAAGTCGTTCGTGGTTGAAGCGTTAATCGGTATCCCAAGAGACAAGGTCTCTTCGAGAAGCCACCGACAGCTTTCTACCCGATTCCACGTTCTGTTCCTTACGTATTCAGCGTTTAGCCCCTAATAAAGACGCTGCCCGGGCTACGTGATCCACAAGCGCAACGAAATTTGTCCACGTAGATGTGTTTTCGAATGGGGATTGGGCAACGCTCGGTTCACGGTGGCCGCCTAATTCGTGGCCAGCTCATGGTGTGCCCTTGTCCTCTTTCTAGAACGGTGGTTGCGCCACGAGGGATGGCCGCGCGATTCGCGTAATCGAATAGACACGGATTATAAATATTAATACTTCGATGTTGCAGCCACGCGAGCCGATAGGTTCGGTGGGAACGTTTCAGGTCTACGTGACTGACCGTCGACGGAACCTGTTTGTTTTGAAACCGATGCAAGTGCAGTTCTCGAAAGGATGAAACGAAGATAGCGCGGAAAGAATAGGAAAACTGAACTTGCGTGGTTTCAAAGATAAACGGTGCACATTGTAGAGGGAATGCGTAGGCCGCTGCGAAAGTTTCAGGGATCCGTTGTCTTATTGTTTGTTATGCCCGTGAAGCTTCACATTTTGAAGTTTGGAAAGTGATACAGTACAATGGAAATGTATTAAACCTTGGCATTCCAGATTGTTTTGTAATCTATCAGCAATTGTAACTAATTTTTATAGTATTCCTAGCGAAAATGAGAAATGCTATAACATCTCTTCGATCTTTTATTTTCCTTCTCGGTACAAAATTTGGATGTGTGGAAAATCTAATAATTTTAGTTTCTGTAAGATTCATTAAAATATTTAATATTTTAACCGATGCAATATTGGAGCCTACAGAGTTCAAAGGGTTAACCCTTTACACTCGAGAGGCGACTCACGTTTGATTCGATACAACGAAATTGCAAAGTTTTATATATAATGTTAAGTTGTGTCTAACGCATCAGTGTGTGAGATATTCATATAAAATAACTTTCTTTCTTAACACGTTCGCTACCAGCGCTTACTTCAGTCTCCTCAATTATATTTCCTTCAATCCAGTAAATCTTTTAAACAAAATATTTAAAAAATGAAACGAGTCATTGAGTTCTTAAATGTAACGTCATAGTTTATTAATTCTAATAACAGTATCTATAGGATTAATTTCATCTTCATTCTGTAAAATATAGAATTACGAGTGTCACAAATAAGTGATGTCGGTAGCGCACGCGTTAACGTTCAAGGAGAACATTTTGGCAAACAACAATACCATTAGGTCGAACTTCGACTGTTCTCATTCTTTTCTGAAACTTCTGCAGCAACCGGCATATCACGATAGGAATTTCGTTGTCGCAGATTGACCGTCGAGCAGGCTGCCGAGCAGGAGAGGCAAGTTAGGTCGATACAGATGGAGATGGAGAATCTTCAGCGGCAGCTGCAAACGGCTAGTTACGATCGCGAGAACATCATTCAGGAGAATCGAAGGATCCAGGATGATTTGGCGGCATGCACTTGCGAAGTGAGGAATCTGCAACGCGAGCTGGAAGCCTCTCGAGCCGAGTCCTTTGATCTGAAGAGGCAACTGCAAACTTACGTTAGCGAGGTTCGCCGGGCTGAAGAGCTCTTGAACAGGAAGGTAATTCCTAAAGGCTTGAGATGGTTGGCCGATGACTGCATAACATTCGCAATCTATCAATGAGAATGAGACGTCTTTTTAACACGTTGAATTGCGTGGGGGTCACCGGTGACCCTCGACCGAATCGAATTACAGTTCAGTTAACACGTCGAATGCCGAACGATTTCATGGTACGAAATACTTGACATGGAAAAAATATGATGTTAGATCGTTTGATTGAATTGCATTGTTATTATTGCCGGTTCATCTAGCTGAATGTCACCACATTAGTTAGCATTATTTATAGTATAGAAATGTTTTCAAATAATCGTGGTTTAATTGAGTGAACTACAGTAATTCGCTTTGGTTGGGGGTCATCGGTTACCCCCATGGCATTCAACGTGTTAAACGATGATTATACGAAAACATTTCTATATTATAAATAATGCAATTCAATCAAATGATGTAATATTATATTTCTTTCATTTGGGGTATTTTACTGTATGAAATCGTGCGGCATTCAGTGTGTTAGTGGTAGAAGACAAATGAATTTATATAGAATAAATCTTCGAACGGTAAAGGCGAAAGTAAATTAGTAGGTATTCAAACAAGGGAGAGTTAAGTCGTCTTCCATTCTGTACTTTGTTTGCTGGACATGTTTTGATTTGCATGTCCGACACTTGGCACAGTTCACGCATTCCTACTTCACTGTGACCTTGACTTAGCTGTAGGTGTCCATTTGCATAGGGTGAAGAGCAAGCTGTAGAAGCGTAGTGTTTGTTGAGCTTTGTACCTTGATTGTAGAATAATTATCTTGAGGCAGACTTGAATGAAAATAAGGATAGGTTTTCATCAGTTATTTTCAATCTAATGGAAGCACTTTACAGGAGAACGAGAGGACAGAGATGCTGAATCACTTCAGAAGTTTGAGTCTGGAGGCGACTGTTTTGGAAAACAACAATCACAGCTTGGAATCTGAGGCAGCCGAAGCTAGAGGGGCGCTTCAAACTGCTAGAGATCGTTTGATGGATTTGGAACGTCAGCTGGCTGATAAGGACAGTCTAATAAGTGGTTATGAGACACAGGTTTGCATGACAGTGCCATTTACAAAAGTAGGAGTATACAGAATATATCTGAAAAGAAAGAATACTCATTTAACTTTTGGCTATTTAGATCAGTGAGTTGACTCAAAACGTAGCTAGTATGGAAACTCAGTTGCGCCAGCATGCAGAACAGAGACAAAGAACAGAAGCTGACTTGACTGCTGTCAGAGACCTGTGTGTAAAGCTAGACCAGCAAAAGGATACCCTTATGCATCAGCTGGACGACAAGGATTCACTTAAAACACAAGTAAATACATAGATACACACGAGAGAAAAATGTGTAAAATATATAAATAACTTGTATCTATTCTTTTAATTTTCAGTATGACATGCAAATTTCTAAACTGAAAGCGGAGCAGACTATAATACAAGATCAAATGAGTAGAGATCGTGCAACAGTGGAACGTCTGGAGATTCTTCTAGATCAAGCCAGGCAGGAATCCATAACTGTGCAGGCTAATAATCAGGAGCTACAGAATGAGATGTCTAGATTGAGAACAAAAATGTCTGAACTCCAAAGCAAATTGTAAGGAATATTTCTTTAACTGTTGCAGCGTGTAGGATAGTTTTAAATATATTTTATTCAATGTTACAGATCTTCAGAGTCGGCGAAACTTCGACAATATCAGACACAGGCTGCTGAATACTGTAAACAGATCAGTGAACTTCGTAGACAGGTAACGAATGAGAGGTTTGATCGTGCTAGAATGGAAGAAGAAAATCGGAGGTATGTACTCTAAAAATCTTTATATCTGTACGTACATATTAATGAATAGATTGTAGATCAAATATAATCTCTTAGACATTCAGAGTCCCATGAAGATCCATCCAAACAAATCACAGTTCCACTCCCTAATAACAGAATTCCTAATGGTTCCAACGATACGGCATGCAGGTAAATCTATCTAAATAGTCTAATAACAGTCCTAAATGCAGAAATGGAGGTCCTAAGATTCTTGTTCGTTTTCTCCACTTTTGCATTCTAGTGTCCACTCGTATTTAATCTAACGAACGAAAATTAAATCTGCCAGGCAAGTAGACTGGCTGAAGAAACCATATACTTCGGTTCCCAAACACTCCCACACACTCACACCTGCGCGACATTCCTTTCCGTTGGATTGCAAGTGTTTACCCTCGAAAAAGGTTTCACAGATTGCACCGTCAAATAAATTGCCAATGGTATCCTCTGTCTCAAATCACCGTGCAAATGCCTCGAGGCAGAACAGTTCTAGCAATGCCAATAAGCGGTCGAAGCTTTAATTCTGTATAAACAAATTTATGATTTTTAATAACAATTTTAGCATGAAATTTTTTTTTAACGAAATATTAAATAAATTTCAATTTAACGATGATTGAAGTGAGACAATAAGTTTATGATCATTTTGTATCGATACAGTTTAGTCGTAATTGGTATGTTGTAGAAAACGTGTTTTTTTTTTATTTACAGGTCTTTGAATTCCACGCCTGACAGTTTTAACGTAGATTTAAATGTGGTCGTATAACAGTATTGATTAATATGACTTGATCGATAGATCTTTACAGAACGAGAGAAACGAAGAGTACAGTGCCATCAGTCACAGCAACCGAATGAAAACAGTGAATTCTTTTCCCCTATCGCACTCCGCTTATACCGCCGAGTCAAATGATTTTAGGCGTGGCCATCGAAATGAAATTTACCGAGACGTTCCCTGTGTTAATATAATATTACGTTCAGATTGCACTATGAAATCCACTCAATACAATTGCTTGCAAAAGAACACTGATCAAAGTGAGAGTAAAATTGTAAAGCAGAGTAAAGGGGATACAGAAACCACTCTGGGCATATCAGATTTTAATTTACCTCAGGAAAAATGTGAACACATTGCTGTTAATACAAATGAATCGCCTAATTTGTTACCCATCTCAAGAGTTCAGTGCGAAGGAACGTCTGCTCAAGACAGAAAAGCAGTGACTTTTACTAGTATTCAAACAATACCACATACAAGTAGTGAACTACCTTCTTATAGATCTAAATATTCTAATGAAACGTCATACTTTAACCAAAATCCACTGGATTTAGTCAGGAAGAGATTGGTGTATTCTGAGGCAGAAATTAATACAAACAAAGAAGAAGTTGAAGGTCCCATGAGATATAAAGAATCGATATGGAAGACTTATCCTGTAATAAAATTGGAAAACAGTACGAGGAAAGTGTATGGAGATAATGTAATTTCTACAAAAAAAAGTATCTCAACTTTTATGGAAGCAGATGAACCAGTGAAGCATATTACTGTAACTAAGACTGTATTAACACCTACAAAACAGAAGTCTGCTAAAGACTGTTCTTGTATATGTTCTCATGCAGTTCCTTATTCTAATCAAACTTTAATGAAAGATAAAATGGTTGAAGGCAATATACAATTAGGGTTGCTTCGTGATTACGAGAAAAATGATAAAAAACAGGAGGCACCGTTTGATTATGACAAAAATGTATCTGATATAACTACATCTAAAAAGGCAGGTGAAAAGAATGCTAATTGTGGCATTAATGCAACTTGTGATTCAATGAGGTATTCTACATTGAACATGGAACAGAAAACTGAATATGAAAGTTTAACTAGAGATCTAAAATCCAAAAGCAACGCTACCGTTAAATTTTATCATAGTACACCGGAACGGAAACTTGAAAGTCCAGTTTCCAAGAATTTATTATCCGAAAAAGATTTAAATTATTGCACTGATATAAGTTGTAATGCAATTAATAATCGCACAACAGGTTTAATACGAGACACTAAATCTGTGAATACAGCAGTCAGTGTCAAATCTGTGGGTACAATTACTAACAACACTTTGACAGCGCAAAAAGATTTGTATTATAGTAAAGTAAAACAAGAACCTAAAGGTACAATCGATACTACAATGAACACGCTGGAAGGAATACTGACAGGAATAAAATCGTTGAATGATAAATCCATCACCAAGCATAATGCCCACAGTTATCAGGATGGCAGCATAAGGTGTAAAGATATGGATTGTAATGTGACAGGCATGAATAATAAACTGTCAACGGGATGCATGAAGCCAGAATGTCTTAGAATGTTGGAAGAAATAAAAGAGTGTACAAAAATGTTGGAAGAACAATTAACAATTATGAATAAAAATATGAAAACTAAAAGAAGTAGAAACAGTTACGGCGATAAACAACGAAAAGACATAATTACACAGAAACCGGAGAAGGAAAATGTTTGTGTACAGGAACCTAGCTTGAATAATTTTAAACATATCAAACATATGCAGGATCTTCGGATGAAACCAAGAAATAATCTGGATGTTCAACAAATTGAACTACAAGATAAAACTTATCAAGAAACTGGCAAAAAAACTGCTTGGACGAAAGAGACCCTTCAGATACCTAAATATCATGGGAAGCAGGAGAGAAGTGAAAGTTCTAAGAAAATGCTTCACAAATTTGAAAGCAAAAATAATTCTAATATGAATCAGTCCAGTAGCTTAAAAGGAGTAAGACAGAGAGAGAAGGATCAATGGACGAAGTCATATACCATTGATTTTTCAAATTTTGAACCACTCGCTGCATCTACATTCAGAGATAAAGATCCATCAAGCGGTAATAGGCATGTCTGTCCAGCTATTGGCCAGACTAGTATTGTTTCTAATAGAAACTCGGAAAGATGGCAAAAGAAGGAAACCAGATTGACTGAACTAATTAGACACCCTTCAAAAAGGCGGGAACGTACAATTAGTTTGGGGAATGTAAAAGGAATGCAGGGGTGTTCAAGTTGTCCAGAGAAAACTATCGTAATGTTACTCTTAACAAGAGGTGTACATAACTCATATTTGAAGTCTAAATATAAGAGACTGGAATTCATGAATTTCAAACCTAAATGCAATAATGGGGATCAAATATTAAAAAGGCGTAAAGCGCAAGCACCAACTGTGTTCAGAGAATTGAAATCAGTACAATGTAAAATTGAAAACTGCTCTAATTCGGCTGAGAATGCTTATGGTAATTTTACAGATAATCCGACAGTTAATTCTAAAGTGTCCAATTTGTGGGCGACTGTTTGCACACAGTCGTCCAATTTGTACATCACAACTGCTACATCAGTTTCTGATGTTAATTTCATGAACTACTCAAGTAATTGTATTAAAGCAAAGCCAGCCAGATCAGGAACGTGTATATTGAGTTGAAAAGAAAATTAAAATGAACGTTTGACGCGTTTCAAATAGATATATGTCGTTTTAAGGGTTTAGCGTTTAGACGATTTGAAAGAACTGTATAAATAAAAACAAGAAGTCAATCGTCCCCTGATCTCCTAGTGATGCCTGAACTTTACTTCTAATTATGAATTATTATTTTATAAATTCGCGAGCGAATGTATCAGTTACAGTAATATAAAATACAAAATAAAGAATATTTAATGTGTAGCAGGAAATGACTGTATGAATTATGGTGATAACATGGAGGTGTAATTATAGATATCGGATTAACAAATTATAAGACTGTATTAGCGTTTAAAGTAAATTGTTACTGTGTTGTAGGCATGGCTAATATTTTAAGGAAATAGCTTATTCTATTGTACCATGTTTTATATTTTACTCGCTGAACCAATAACAATATAGTTCGTTTATGGAACAATAAAATGACTCAAAAATTATTTCGCATCGTTCCCCGTGCCAGCAATTGTTCAGATGCACGTCCTTCTTCGATATAAAAACACAAATAAAAAGAAAAAAAAGGAGACGACTTAAAAAATAATTCTCCGTTTACAAAATGAACAAAAATTTTCTACGAAGTAACCATTTAAACACGTAAAGACCTTCTTGGCTTCGTAACGAGTCCGAAGAGAGTGAATAAACATCCATATGATTTGTATGTTCAGTTTTAATAGTTTCTCCTTCGTATTCAGTAATTTATTATATCATTCTTTTATTCCTTTACACATACGTTTATGATCTCGATGATCGTACGAAACGTTGAACATGTAAACTAGGTAATTACAAATAATAAAAATAAAAAGCCTCTCGATAAGATTTTTTTCTTTTTCTCTTCCGTCCTAAACGTTCAGCTATTCAATTTGATTTATGTATATATGTATATGTATACTTGTATGTATTTTATATATATATACGTATGTGTCCTGTGTGTGCATAATTTATATATAAAATACATAATAGAGGCTCGCGCAAAGTTTTACAAGTTTTACGGATGTTGTAATCATAAAGGTATCGGCTTCTTCGTTACAATCGCTGCCAACCAGTACTTTTTTTTCTTCATTTTTCTCATTCTCTCCCTTTCTCTCTCACCCTTTCACGCGCGTTCTCTCTCGCTCTCTCTCTCACTCTCTCTCTCACACTCATTCTTTTTCTCTCTTTCTCTCTCTCTCTCACTCTCTCTCTTTCTCCCTCTCTCTCTCTTCTCTCTCAATTTTCTCTCTTTCTCAAAGTTTACTGCTTCATCGGTTCAATTAATTACAAAAAGATCTCATACCTTGCAACTCCTACGTTTTGTCATAATCTAATATAATACAAGGAAACTTTCCCGCTTTGCTCACGTCATAGACGTTTCGTAAATCTTACACTCTTAATAAGAAATTTATACAGAGCTCGGTTTAACATCGTGAATTAAGAAATACAGGCAATTATGTACAAATATTTATAATTATACATATATGTATATATGTATAGATAGTTTGTTTCCTTTACTTTTCCTTTTTTTTTCTCTCCAAGTATGATCGTCTTAATCGTAATTCGCGAATACGAACGAGTACCTGGGTAACTCGACGAACAATACACACACATACGCGTACGCGCACGAGATAAATGCGAATTCTCCACACGACACAAATAATTCCGACGTCTGATCACGGTAAAATTCTCAATGGGTTCATTGATCGTTCGAGAAACGAAATAATAACGTGTTTCCGTGAAATCGATGCACACGAGACGTCGCGTTTTCCTCTCTTTTCCCATCTTTTAGAATTTCGCGGGCGCACAATTCTAGTTATACATAAAATCGTATTGAACGTGTCTTGGCTCCAGACAATCGCATACAATCGGACATTTAAAAATAAATGCATAAAACTCGCAAAAATCCGTTTCGACCGACAATCTTTAATTTATGTAAATTTCCTCGACTCATCTCGTGTACACCGATCCGACGGGATAAATTAAAAGCTACCAAGGAAGATGAAAGAATTTGGTCAATTTTCATTCTGTTCAACCCACCACGCAGAACAACATCGAAA